TTTTCTTTTACTTACTCATCAGGTGTACCAGGAGCCTTGCATTTTCCGCAAATATCCTTAATTGCAGCGATTGTTGTTGCATTGGCACCCTTTGCTTCAGCTAATTGCGCCATGACATCACAGTCAGCTTCAAGATTGGCACCATTTTTTTTAGCCTATTGCGAAATGTAGAATGAATTTAGTTTTTAGTCTTTTTTATTTAAACTTAAGACAGAATTACCAGTTTGAATTGTTTCATAACGCAAGAGGCTGTGCATTTTGCAGTTTTAGTTTCTGGCATCTTTCCAGAGCACAAATTATTTCCGTCCTCTTCGGTTGCACCGTTGGATTTTCTGAAAGAGTTCATTTTTTACAAGATTATTGGAAGGTTCATTCATTTATTCGCTCACACAATCAAAACTCTTCAATTTCAATTTACCTGCAATCCTCACTAATCGCCATGCACATTTCCTTCTGCTCCTTGGTTGGTTCTGCCCCATCCTGAGAAAAAAAAATGATTCATTTAGACAATGTGTAGATTATGTTAATAACTAAATCGATTAAATAAGAGGGGAAATTACGTACTGTGACCAGTGCGATCACAAAAACGGCAAAGATCAACCCCAACAATTTAATTGAATTCATTTTCAGCGGATTCACAAGTATATTCCACAAGTGCCTTCGATAGTTTTTAGAGACTGTTCTATTTGACAACCAATTCACTTTTGGAACATTCGAACAATGTCAACCTCATTATATAGCAAAGTTTGAGCTTGATTAGCGTGAGATAAATTATTGGAAAAAAAATCAATATGTGGACAGACAGGAATATTGACGTGCAGCAATCGATTGAAAAATAGATCTTGACAGAAAAACAATTGATGATTGCTTTATTGGTTTCAGATTAGCCAATGTTCATGCCAAAATGTAAAATTATTTATGGAAATCAGGCGACGCCTTTTACTTGTTCATTGGTTTCCGTCATAGCTGTAGATCATTCGAATTTTTTTCACGACAGTGTCATCTAGATAAATCCAATTAGGAAAACCAGGGTCGCTTTCTTCGTATACAAATACATGGGAAAGATTTGACGTAAGACGCCGAGACGCCTCTACGCGTAGAATGCTCGAAGCTGTCATCGTACACATATTGAACACGAACATTGTTGTTTACACAATCGCACTCACACAAATGAACGCATCGATAGTGCCCGCTCAATTAATATGTACGATGACTGTTTTGAATGTCCCTCGCCTAGAGTGCTGCGTGTCGTTTTTCTTCGTTTATTAAGCGATCTTGGGAAAACAATAGTCCAATTTTTCAGTAGGATGATTTATTTGATCCGTATCGGGACGTATACATTTTATTCATGAAAAATATCTCTTTCACTATTCTCATTTATTCTAAACAAAAAAAAAATGAACACAGATTTGGTCTATTGCTGTTTGATGTGATTCTAATACAAGATTGCTTCAATAACTCATTTTCATGCATGGTTTATTGGATCAACATATTTTTGGTCATTCAATTCCTTGCTATTTATGGAAATATCAACAGAAAATCACTTCAAACCAAGCATTTTTTATTGAAACTACTCAACAGCTATTGAATGAAAATGTTGCTACTATTTAAACTACGATTGATTGACAATTTCTTCATAAAATGGGCGAGCATTAAATTTAACATTGAGACGTGAACACAATAAGAAAACGCCCGATAATTTACGATGGATCGAATAGATTTCTTCTGGTGGTGGGCATAAACGATGAGCAATCATCGTTGGAACTAATTCAGCAATGCGTTTCGTTGTGCTTTGTCTACCAAAATCGAATTCTCCATCGTATCGAAATAATTCACCCAAAATCATGGTGGCATTTACATGGGCGTCTTTCATTTGTTTTGTTTCGTATCCGGTTAAAAATTTCATTTTTTGTGACAATTTCAGCACTTGTTCATAATCATCGGCAACGGCAGCACGAATGGTCTCCTTGTAATCGTTGATAAAATCGTCCGTGTAGAATCGTGTTGATCCAAAATCGATTAGCGTCAATCGCTTTGAATTTACATCGTACAGGAAGTTTGACCAATTTGGATCGGTTTGCATGCATCTAAATTCAAACAATTCTCGCAAACACAATTTCAGCACGGATGTTGCAATGATTTTTCGATGCTCTTCACTGAAAGAAAAAAAAGAAAGTCAAAAACCAATTTAAAATTAGGTTTGAATTATGATGATATTAGACTTGCCTCAGGTCAAAGCATTTGTCCAAAGGAACGCCAGGCACGAGTTCGGTTGTGAGCACACTCTTGGTCGTCACATTTCGAATGACTTTTGGTACTCGATACTCCTTATAAGGTGCGGCCATTTCACGATATTTTTCGGTGTAATTTGCCTCACGTAAATAATCCACTTCCCAAATGAGTTCACGTTTCGCCACTTTTACAACGTTATCAATGAATATGCCAGCTGGGAAGACATCCCACACCTTGAGCATTCCCACCAAGTTGTCAATGTCACTTTCAATGCTTTTTGCAACACCCGGGTATTGAATTTTTATCGCCACTTCCATGCCATCGGGCAAAATACCACGATGCACTTGACCTATGCTGGCCGCGGCAAACGGTTTGTCTTCGAATGACTTGAAGTTTAAGCGCCAATCGCTGCCGAATTCGCTTTTCAGTGCTTTTTCCACTTGCCAATCAGGCATATAGTCAGCTGCCTGCCTCACGCGATCGAATGCTTTTACTAAATGTGGCGAAACTATTGTCGAATCTTGTATGCTAAGAATTTGGCCGAGTTTCAAAGCTGCACCACGAACACGGCACAGAGTATCCACTATCCGTTCTGCATTTTTCGAACTAAATAACGCCGATTTCATATCTTTTGCACCTCCCAAGCCTAGCGCGCCTTTGGCCAATTCATTCACGGTGCCCAAACCTAAGCCTGCGAACAACGTTCCGAATGATGCCATTCGACCAAATCGCGTCGATGGAACTTTACGTTGTTTTGCTACTGCACTCAATGCTGGTAACTCAATCGATTGTGTTTGAGGCTGACTCTCTACAGGCGTTTGTGCGACACTTTCTACAATTGGTTCCGTTTTTGGTTTCACATCGACGGTTTGAGCTGTGCTTGGTTTGTGTTCGGATATGAATTGCATCCATTCCTTAACATATTTCTCATCGTTCAACATTTGCTTTGGATTCACCGTTGAGCTCGGTTTGGCACCAAAATCGATTGGTTCGTTTTTCTCACTCTCAGTTTCTGCCAAATCTTGTTGATCCTTTTCATCGTACTGATTCGATAGATACTGTTCCAATTCCTTCAAAGTGATTGCCGATATGTCCAAATGGCTAGCACTTGTGACAGTATCCACCACTTCCTTTGGCTTATTCGATATTTCGCTGATTTTTTGCAATGTTGTCGACTGTGACACACCAAAACGATACAAACTTTCAGCTACAACACTCGATCTCTCCACTGTTTCCTTTAGTACATTCGTAACATTTTCGAATTCTTTGTTTGGATTCCGGGTGATTCTGTCGGTGAACTGCTTTGCTTGTACACAATTACTCGATATGACATCACGTACACTTGAATTCGCCCACAGATGCCGCAAATACTCTTCGTTCGTTTGTGCCGATGCCTTGGCAATCAGCTGCAATCCCTTCAACAATGCCAGTGTATCTTTTGTCCTTGACATTTTTCGCTGCGATAAAAATTGCGATTCAAAAATCGTTGATTACATCATTCAAAACTAAAATCATTCAAAGTGGTCAATGTAGTTTTACCTTTCAATTAAATTCACCGTAGTTTTTATAACACCAACAAACTTCCGCCGCAGTATTTTGTCACTAAAATTTGTTTGTAAACCACAATCGCTTTAATTATTAAACTAAGCGTCTTAGTAAAAACAATAGAAATTTTTCGATGTCTTAACGATTGTTATAATAAGATTGAGGTTATGACTCACATGATGCGACTGACAGTTGAACAGCTGTTAAAATATTGCGATTTATTCGATGTTTTTGCTGCAGATGCGATGTTTTTTTGAACATTCAATTAATTCAGTTGTAGTTGAATGAATTTCATTCATCGAATGTTCATTTGGTGATAGTAAACGATTTCATAATTTGTTTGAACTTAAAAACGTGACAATTTTGCACGAAATTTTGTGAATAAATGGCAACGTGATTATAATGTGGAGCAATGCTGTAATCAAACATTATTTTGTCCATTATTAGCGGCAAGTGAACTTTACAAATATGAATATGACCTTAAAGCGGAATACATGATACATGTGAATGTGTGAAGAAAGTGTTATCGCGCAAATTTACCGCGGTGTCGTAAATTGTTTAATTAATGAATGCGCCCGCTGCGAATGATGGCATTTTATATGATAATCTAATTTTAGCTAATGAATTTATGTAACGATAATAATTATGGCTCGATTTTTACTTTTGTTCAATCTAGAATCGACAATTTGAAAGAAAAAATGAAAATCATACGGATAATAATCAATAATAATTTCGTTGTTGGTCAATTTCGCCGAATATTTTTCACACCAGCGAGTGGCCACAGAGTGTTATGCAATATTTACATTTGAACTACATTTCTCATACAAAACATCAATTTCTTCAAATCCGCAAAGGGATTTTCCGCATCGATTACGCGGTATTTGATTTGCAACGGATATGTGCACTTGAGCGCATCCAAAGAGTTTAATTGAATTCACATTGATTTAAAGAAGAAGAAAAAAAAACCTGTATTGTTCATATAATCTCACGAATATGCCACGATTAGCTTACCATACCAATCACCAACAATGTGCCTGTAGTTTGTGTTTTGTTTATGATTTTTATTACTTTTTATTGATCAACTGCCGCTATCGATAATGAATTACTCTCTATTACAACGCGTTTCCCATTGCAAACATTTTCACAGAGCCATTTCTTATTTTTCTTCTTCTTCTTCTTCTGCTCTCGTATATTCATCTCGAAAACGTTCAATTAAAAACATTAAAATACACTTCCTTACATAAATTTATGGATCCGATTAAATCTGCGGTGTGTGTGTGTGTTTATTTTTTTCTCGTTTCACCTGAACTTGGTCGGTTTAGAGTTACACTTTCGATTTGATGGAATCGGTTGCAGTGGTTTCAGCAGTGGTTGTGGCGGCTAGCTTTAGAAAATCATTTCATTGAACAAAGATTCGCGGAAAAAACGTTTTTTTTCGTTATTTGTTTATATCTCCTCTTTCTACGACTGAGACTCACATGAACGCCGCTCAAACCATTGCGCCGCGTTGGAACGCCAACAACAAACAAATTGAATAATCGCTATGTTGTTTTGTCCATTTGTTTTTCTGCACTGCGGGCGATGGCATTGTGTCACAGCATTAACGTCACCATAACAAATGCCATCGATTCGAATCACTTTCCTCGCCGAACTATTCTCATTTTCACTCCAGTTAAATTCCGCCTCGATTTTTATAACAAAATTTATTCGAAAGACGATTGATTTTTACGATTTCTATTCAAATCAAGAGATTTTTTTTTTGCAAAACGATTATGTTGTTCTTAAATGAATGGCCATTATTTGACATGACAAAATTCAGGTTACTCCACATGAAGTTACGGTCTCATAGCCACTATAAATAAGAGTATAATCAAATCAGAATCGCAAATTGCTATGATATAATACAGCGAATTGACAGACAAACAGTATATATATTTACAAATTGAAAATTTGCTGTCAATTTACTGGTTCGGCAATACTAAATATTTGTCTTCCAAATGCTACCAGTTTACGTATAGATTGTTCAGTTTGTGAAATTTATTTTTTTGAATAATTTTTTATTCAGTCAAATTTTGCTAACGATTTTCTTCCCGTCATTACATGAGTTCAGTCAGTAACTTTAAATTCGGTTGAAATGCAAAAAAAATGCTCAAGAATAGCACACATTTTTTTTGTACAAGCATTTATTGTGTGCCGATACAACCGGTTCTCGTTGTGTTTGACTATATTTTTTGTTCAATGTTTACGAGGGATTCATGATCTATTGTCTTATCGCGAAGGCTCAAAACCGTTGAACAAAAGTACATCGTACATTTTAAATAATGACAATTAATTTTACTTTTGTTTTTCGTCTAATTTTGACATGGCTGAACATCTGATTGTTGTGATAGAACCAAGAAGCACATAAATTAGAGGTTACAATAAAAATGAGCACTTTGAGTTTGTCTGACCCAAAGTCAAGTGCAAGTACTAGATGGAAAATGTTCATAGTAGATGTACACACGTGCATGATACATTCTCGTAATTACGTATTAAATGAAATCAACACTTATTATTACTCAATAGTGATTGCCAATTCGAAAACCAATAAAAGATTTACGTTTTTCCATCGCCAGACGGTGAAAAAAAAACACAATAAATATAGTCTTTTCCATGGGATGACAGTCGTTGCTCTGAAACAAATTTCTCAATCGAATGATTGATGGTGTACGTGATAATGAATCGTTTCTTTCTGTTTCTTTCTAAATGCGATCGAATTAAAAATTAACAATGAAAACGAGCATTTATTTTTGGTATGAAAAGAGAATAAGTAGAAAAAAAAACAAATCTGCTTGCATGGAATGAACACACACACACGATTCCACGCGAACAAACAGTAGCTGTAGTAAAACGGCTAAAAGAGTTATGCATACATCGAAACCGTGACGTCAGTTTGAGTTTTTTCTTTTTCCATTTTGTTGTTTCGGTGTAAAACAATAAAATCGCAGCATACAGATTCAGAAAATGAGTGAACGAAAGAAGCAGAAAAAGCAAAAGAAAAAGCAAATCGTGGTAATTTGGTAAAAGGCCCATTCGATATCTTGCTAAAACTATAAAAGCCCTGTATTTTTGGTAGTCTAACATCATATCCATTTTATCAGCGAACAAGTTAACATCGTGGCGTAATAATTTTTCGACTCATTTTTTTTAAATTCACTTTAAAACGGTTTCGTGTGTAATTTCTTTCTTATGAACTTGTGATTTGAACTGTTTAACAATGAAATTAATGGTGAGAATATTTCCAGTGTTTATTTTTCTGTTTGTTTTCTTCGTTGTTGTTTTTTGTGGTTGCATTTTGAATAGTGGGAGTTGTTGCAGTGCTTTTAATGTGTTTTAATTAATGTTTTCTAGATCGTTGTTTTGTTGGCAGTGAATTTGATGGTGTCTGCCGATGTGACGAGTGATGATAAAGTTGCAAAGGGAAAACGAGAGGCTCCGATGGCTGAACCATCGACAGATTATTTACCACCACGCTTGGAAGCGCCTTATGCAACATTTCAGCCAATAACTGTGGGCACTAGTGCCGCTCCTCAACCTTCATATTTTCAACAAACTACATTCAATCAGCAACCATCGTTCAATGACCAATCATCGTTTAATCAACGACCATCGTTTAATCAACAATCATCGTTTGATCAACCTCCGGCCGGATCGCCAGCACCCGCTCCAGCCTACGAATACAGTCGTTTTGCGGGCGTTATTCCTTTGCAAGGTGTCGACAATAACGAACTTGGCAACGGAATAAATCAAGAATCATACAATGCTAATCCTGGCCCACCATATTACAATAATATTTATGGTGTGAGTGGTGCTTATACCGAGGGAAATAATTACGGTGGAGCCAGTTCATATGGCAGTTTCATTAAATACGGCGAAGGTAATCAGGTCAGAACCAACTACGGATCATACAATGGATTGGGTCAGAGTTTGAATGTATACGGAGGAAATCAATTCGGAAATAATGATGGAAACTTTGACCAATATTCAACCATTAAAAATAGTCAATTTGGCAACTCAGGTGCCAATTTCGATCAAAATTCATTCGTTGGAAATCAAGCAAATAGATATCCATCATCGGCATCGCTACGATCAAATCAACCACCATCTTATGCTGCGGGTGTTAAAGGTTTGAGTCATTATTCGCAGCCAGTATCCAATCTAAATACTCAACCGTTGAAAAACAGTCGACCAGTCGCTTTGCAACCGGCTCATTTGCAACGCAAACCAAATTCATTTTTACAAGAGCCAAAAAATCCGAACTTTCGTCCATCATTCTTTTTGGGATCGCAGGTGTTGACCTCAACACCTGAATACAGTCAACCAACCTTGAACTCACTTGGTACAACCAATCAATATATTCCACCAACGCAACCAATTCCCGAGCATCTTATTGCACAGCCCATTTCCGAACAATATGGCCAACCGATTGTTGGACAATACGTGCAAGCCGTGCCGGCGCAATATACAGCGCCTCAATCTTTGGGCGAATTGCCACTAACACAAAGAGAGTATTTGCCTCCATCGTCACCAAATTTTGTGAATAGTTATCAAGCATCTGGACAATCGGGTTACGGATTGCCTGAAACAATTATCTACACAAAGTCATCGCTGTATGGAGAACGGTACGGTCAAGCACCATAAACTACTGCATTTGGTCATAGATAAAGAAATGATATTGTTTGTCGCCATTTAAATCACTTTGAGCATGAATCTTATTTATTGTATTGTTTTAACGTATAAATTAAGTCTCTGAAATTATGAGCGAAAAATAAATGTACAAAAATCAATGTGAATTTCAGATGCCGTGAGGCATGGTTTATTTAACTGATAGGATTATACACACAAAGTAAGTATATGTTGTGAAATGCATCAATCAATTCAAGCAGCTGTACATCAAGAAAATGTTGATTAATTCGATGCTGTTGAGTTTACGGCATTCTTTGCACATATTCTATGCTTTCTTTCTGTCATGGAATTTCCATTCAACGCACAAACGGCAGCGGTGGCGGCGGTGGTGTTCCAATACCCGTGAGAGATGAAAATACTTTTAATTGAGCAACAGATAAGTTGTCTAAGGCTGATGAGATACACAAGGCGCATGTCATCAACTGTTATTTTTTTTTCCATTTACCTACAATTAAAAATTCATCTGGTGCACAACGACGCGATTTACCACAAAATCAAAAACCACATCGACGGTATGCAATGTTTATAGTATAATTTTTTTCGTTTGCATCGATTAGACATTGTTAATCACATCGAAATGATAATTTGTAATCATGCGATGCAACGTGCATTTATTATCGAATCGCTCACGATTGGTAGATGACATCGTTAACATTTTCTAATTGAATTCATCAGTGAAATTTCAATGTGATAAATATTGACAGGCCACAAAAGCCACAACTATATTCGCTGTAATGACAGCATTTGCGGTGTGTGTGTGTGTGTGCGCGTAACCAAAGGGGCTTAAATTGACTTGTTTACAACTTCCATTTATTTTCATTTTTTTCTTCTTCTCTCAAAGGTAAAGCATCATAAGGCTCTAGCCTGATGATTTCAGGCAATTATGTGAAGCAACCAAATTTGCAACCGAATAAACTTTAACTGACCTTAGTATTGAACTTGCTCGTTCACCGAATGCAATGATAATTGACGCTTTGTTTCTTTTTTGTTTCATTATACCTCTATGTCAATAGTCTAATTTTGCATCGCAAAACAACAATTCGCTTAATTGGACACCATTTCGAATGCCTCCTCTTTCTTGCGAGCGCAACACATTTTTTTGTTTGTTGCATCGATTCTCAGTTTAATTATAATGCACTGCTTTTGACGCTCATGCCTCTATTCACACTATTTTTCTTTTGCTATTCGAATTGTTGGAATAAAAATGAAAAAACAAAAAAAAAATGAAATTGTTGCCTTCTTTAAAATTTCAAACTGACTTTTACTCTGCCACACTAATCTTTTGAGTTAAAATACACCAAAACGAATTGAAATAATTGTAAGTTAATATGCGAATGATAAAAAATCTTGGAATTGGCCGAAATTAAATAATTTGCATCAAATGTGGAAGAAAGCGACGAACGGATAGAATGGAAAAAAGAATGTGATTAGACTTTCTCTTAATTGGTCATTTTCAATGGACGTTATTTGCGTATATCGTTTCAATTTCGTATCTTTTTTTCTGCATTTTCTTTGTCTTCTTCTAAAGCTCACTTTATGCTATGCTTCATTTTGTTCGAATGACTTTATTTCCGACCTGTGTCTTTCACCAGAGCTCTCGGACCTGAACACAGATTCATTTGATTTGAATAGATGCAATCAGTGTGCGATAGATCGGTTCACAATGTGCACAGGCACACATATATGCATTTTTAACAATGGTAAAATTCCCATTCGAATGCAATATATTATTTTCAGGCAAAGAGAGATCGACAACAAGAAGCGAATAATAAATTTAATTTCCGATACTTCATCATTGCATTTCAGTTCATCATTTTGTGCAATCAATTGTTTATATTGTGCGCAGAATATAAGAGCTAGTGCGATTCAGCGCACGTGTTACGGCATATTCACTCAATACGAAAACCGAACGAGAGATTACAGAACGGCCAAACGGTAGAAGAGAAACGAAAGCGATCGATTGCATGCCTGAAAATATATCAATTGCGATCATGATCATGAACACGAATTGAGTTCCACATTGGCGCGAATGCAAGCTCGAGTGAAGAAAAAAAAAATAAGAAAAAACAGCAACAACAGCAGCAACAGAAACAACAACAACGAAGCAAACCAGCACGATAGCCAAGCGAAACAAGTTCAAATCGAAAGTGAAATTAAACGAACGAATTGTGTACGTTGCGCGCGATGTGATCGCTGACAATTGCCGAGCTAGTTAAATTCAATTTTAAATTTGTAAATTATACGAAAACGAATAGTTTATGGCAAAATAAAGACAAACACACAAAAATGAATATAAATAGATCGGCGTTTCGGTTCAGCGTTGCATTTATTGTTCGATATAGGATTTCGTGAGAAAATATAGACAATTGCGGAACAACGAAATTCAATAACTTTGAACATTTGCTGTGTGTATGTTTGACAAGTGAACTGTGGCAAAATCGCAAATAATGGCACAGCAATCAAAAGATTCGTTGCCCAATGTTGGGCGCATTTTGTGACGTAACAACAATGATCGGTTCATTGACACTGAACCTTTTGACACGACACCGGGTGTATATAGATAAAAAGCTGTATCAACCGACTGCTAAAACTGTAGATCTCTCTGGTTTTGCTTTCCGTTTGTTCACATTGCACGCAGAAGAAAATAGGAATAATAATAATAAAAACACGAAAATTATATAAACGATCGAATGGAGGAGCATTTCAACTCGGCTCACGTAATTAATGCGTTGTGTGTACACCGACTACATATCCAACGGATTCGGCAGTCATTTATTACGTATACGTGTGCCTGGTTTGTTGCACCATGGATAAATCATAATGAAAAAAAAACACACAATTTAATAAAACAACTTTTGCGTTCGATACGTATTTTCACACACGATTTGCCGAGAGTGAACATTCTATCGAAAAAGGACTGCATTAACTCTTGTTTTCCCATTGTTACAATTTTTTTTTTCACTTCGTGTTGCCAATTCCCGTCGCCAATGTTTGCCTCAATCAACTTGCCAGCCTTAAAGTGCGTACAGCGTACACACATTTACGTCGATACTTCCATTTGCATTGTAATAACGGTTTTCGTTTGAGCTGTCTTAAATCAGCAACACATGAGTACAATCATTGAAATGGCAATAAGATTGTACACTCACACGACAACCGAGTGATACCAGATGAGAAAATACCATAAATAACAATGATCTTGCTATCGCTACATCCGAAACCAGTTTCAATTGGCTTTCGTTTTCAATAAGAAATGCGTGCGTTCATTAAACGCTGCAATCATTTCATTGGCTGGCTGACTGCAGTAGCTGCTGCTGCTGCTGACTGGAATGGAAATGGTGCATCGATTGTACTGCCATTGCGTGTGCAAAACAAATAAGTGCAAATTTCTTCTCTTCCACTACTTTGGTTTGTAGTTTGTACATCTTACGATATTTGATACCATTTGCCATTTTTGGACACGAACAACCACTTGCATTCACCTATTGAAATGATGTTGATCAGGCAATTGACACTTCGAGTGCATGCCAAAACGGTGTAAACAATGACATTTACAAAGAGTTCAACCAGAATTACTAATTAGAGTTCAGAGATTGAGATGGAGATTTCTTTATGGTAAGCTTGCCTTCATACGTTGGCCGAATGTATGGTAATTTTTGCTTTGCATTATGCGAAAAATGCAAATCAGGACGAAAAACGGAAGAGCATGAAACATTCTTGCGCTTCGAGATTATTTTTCATGTGTGCTCAACATAAAATGCATAACGGGTTCTATTTTTATCCAAAAGACACGATGGAACATTTACGGTTGCGCGCTTGCGATGCCCACTAAGTGTGACTCAACGTATTAATTGCTCGCGTAATTCATCAAGACGTAGCATCTTCATGAATGAAATTTACGATTGACATTGACATTACGAATGCCGTAACAGAAAATAATATTTATTCGAACCAGGCACATTGCAATCGTTCATTGATCTTGTGCAGTTGTTGTCTGTTAGACAATTCCAAAACCGATTGAAAACTTGTTCTACGGTATGACAGACCTGCGCACAAAGCTGCAAATAATATGACCAAAACTGTAAAGTTTTCCAGTTTCATTTGGTTGGATTTGAAGTGTAAAACTTAGGAAAAACACAAAATACGGCCAATTCATTGAACCGTTTCCATACATGAGGGAAAACGCCACAATCGATCAGTCTCATCAAATGTATGCAAGTGTGAGTGCGTTTAGTCACCAATTATACTGGCAACTTTAGCGCCAATGGACAGCTTGTTGTCGAACGTTGTTTTTTTTTATTTTCTTTCAAATAGCCAAATAGCGAAGAAAACCATTTTTTCTTCATCAAACCAAACAAGAAAAGATAGTCACACACTGGCTAATCGAGTTTCATTAAATCATATACGATTTACCACCACTTTTTTTCGATCGGATTTGTATTGCTCAACGAATTTGTCTGATGATTGCACCACCACTTCGATCACAACCACCACCACCATAAGACGTCGAAGATTGTGCGATTGAAATGTGCCCGCAGCATACCATCGAGTACGAGTGAAAGAAACAAAACAAATAGATGCAGTGAAATCAAACGTCGTCGATGGCAATTTTTCTGATATCACAGCCGACGACGACGACGACGACGACGACGACGCTTGCAAATAGAAAATGATTGTAGTTCAAGTTCATGGTGGAAGCAATGGTAGCGGTGCATTCATTTTTTTCTGGTGTAGCGTGAGCATATATAAAAGACTTGGTTGCACAACTGCAGCGAGCATTTGATATCTAAACGTAAAAGCGTTCAATAAAACTCACTCATCACTACCAGACTGAATCGGATTTTACCATCGGATTTTCTTTCATTTTCCATTATTTTTTCGCGTTGCTGCTCGTTTCTGTTGCATTTTTGGTGTGGAACCTAATATTATTGTTGTTTGAAGTGCGCGCAAATTTTCTAAATTACTGTTGATTGGATTGTGTTGATGTGAAAAATTTTTAAGTGAAGTTCAGATCAAAGTTAAGAAGCTGAAATTGAAATGAAGAAATTGGTAAATTTTTTCATATTTATGTGATTAAAAATTGTGAGATCATGAAAAAAAAATGTGATACTTTCTATTCCATAGCAAAAATTGAAGAATAAAAATGAAGTAAAAATACAGTTTAAAAAATAACTTGAGATTTTGAAATTTTTGCGTGAACTAATTTCAATTTGTTTTTCTTCTGAGAGTGGTGATACAAATCTTTTCATTCGTTTTCAATTTATATTTAGTTGACGTTGTGCTTTTTGAATTTGGTGTCGTTGGCGCTTTGCACGAATAATGTGCAGACGGACGAAACGCGTAAAACATCCGTTCGTTCGGCATCGGCAGCGGTTGGAACGAATGCCCACCTGAATTCGTTGCAATCTAGTCAGGACAGTGGTGGCAAACAGCAGCAATCATCGCAAGTGCAAAGTGGAACAGGTCAAACGACATTCACAAGAGTTCAAACTCCCGAATTTACATCGATCACTCAACCACACAATGTTTACACGCAGCCAACAGCACCAACGGGTGGATACTTCATTTCAGTTAATCCACAAAATGTTCCTTCGGCTGCTCTCGGTGCAGGTTAGTCACTCCAGTATTTTTTTCTTTTAGAAACTAATTCGATGGCTTTATCCAACCTTTTTGATTTACAGAAGAAAAAAAAAATGAATTTAAACAATTGATCGATCCGGTTGAAACCTAGATCTATTGAATTTTTGAAGAGAAAAATCATCTCTTTTCAGGTCCAACGCCAGTAATCATGCAGTATTTGCCACACAACGCTCAACAAGGTCCAATTCAATATCTTCAGCTCATACCGACGCGTCCGTTGATCGTTCCAATCAGCCCATATATATCGGGATATCCGTCAGGGAATCCCTACTCAACACCAGTGAGTGGTCCAACAGCTCAAGCAACGTCGAATTCACCGTATGCTTTGCCACATCATTCATACGCACCATCAACCAGCAGCTACGCCAATAGCTATTCACCATCAGCAAGCACCTATGGTAACAGCTATTCACCATCTCTGTCCAGCCCAATTGGCAACAACTATTCACCATCTCTGTCCAGCCCAATTGGCAACAGCTATTCACCACCTCTATCCAGCCCAATTGGCAGCTACTCAACGAATTATTTAACGTATTTCCGACCAAATAACGGCATGCAAATGGTCAACGGTCCTGAGCTGAGCCTAAATACGAACGAATACATTCCACTTACAAATGACAATACGTACAAAATGCGAAGAGTTTGAAACCACACGCAGACGTTTCATGCATTTAGAGACTTATTTGCAAGGTTCTTGCCAGCAATTTGATTCTTAAGTTAGGCATTTATTTGTTATTAATTTTGTTGTCATATTGTGAAACACTTTACGATCAAAGGCGATGACCTTAACTCAGATCAGATAGTAAAAACCATTTGTTCACATTAATTTAAGAATAAAGCGAATAAAAACCGACCAATGGCTCAATTAGTAAATTGTCTTGCACCGACATCAATTTTGATTGTTATGTCACATTGATTGTTGAATTGATTGCCCAAATACAGAAGAAAAACACACTCACTCAGCAATTGCACCTATGAGAGCGTCACACTCACTCAATCAATTAGTTAACACTCGAGACAAAGTTAGGCATTTAAATAAAAAAAACATCTGAAAGTTTTCTACATTCGTGTTTCATTTCAAAAATTAAGTCATTTCTTCGGCCATGACATCAACATGTGTTCATGTGATTTTCGGCTAGAAAATTTGATCTTTGGTTCCAATCTCGAAATCAGGAAGTGTTTATTCAATGAATTCCCCACATTTGAACATTTACTCGCTTTCCTTGTTTGCAATATTGAAAATAAGTGCAAAAACACATCGCAATAGGTGTTTGATGTAATCGTCAGTTCCTTTATTTGTTTTTTTTTTGTATAAATATTGGTATGCAACAGAAAGAAGCTCTATAATAACTAATTTCAAAATGTTTGGTCAATACAAAGAAGAGTGAATGTCAATTATTTGGTTGAAATAAATATTGATTAGCTCTGGTAAATATCAAAATAAGCAAAGAAAAGTTTAATGCACGTCCTCCATCGCAGACAGAGTTAAGCCAAACGCTTAATCAAATTTACTATAAAAAATTGAATCAACACGATCCATATTCTTCCATCCATTTTTGAAATTTTGCAATATCGCCCACCGATACGGATTTCCGTGTACGGAGCATTGCATCGTGGAAATCTTGTTCGGTCACTGGTAAATCGACTTCTTCCCGTCGAATTTGCTTAATTTCAGCTGGTGATCGACCCGTTATCTTTCGTCGCATCGACATCATTGCCGCATCGCTACATTGAGCATAAAGTTTTCGAATCAGAATTGAAAATCACTTTGTACTTAAGCCAATCAACTTACCGACACACATTTGTTATATCCGAACCCGTGAAACCATTCAATTGATCTGATATGGCTTTGGTATCCAAATTTAATGATAAATTCACACCCTTCAGACAAAGACTTAACAAGGCAGTTCGCGTTTCCTCTGAAAAAAAAAGGATAAATTTTTATAGTTTTTTTTTTCTCTTGTTAATTCAAAATTGATCTGATATGGCTTTGATAATAATTCATTAATATAATCAATTCAATTTGTACCATTTGGAAGTCCAATGAAAATGCGCTTTTCAAAACGTCTGCGAAACGCTTCATCGATATCCCATGGATGATTGGTTGCCGCTAACACCATGATAATTTTATCATCACCCAATGACTCATTCAAGCCATCCATTTGAATTAAAAGTTCGGCTTTAAAACGGCGACTCGCTTCGTGTTCTGTGTCAGTGCCTCGATTTGCACACAATGAATCGATTTCATCGATGAAAATTGTGCTCGGCGCATGGAAACGAGCCATTTCAAAGAGTAGCCGCACCAATTTTTCACTTTCACCACGATATTTTGATGTAAGCGTGCTCGATGACACGTTGAAAAATGTGGTTCCGCATTCAGTTGCTACCGCTTTAGCCAACATCGTTTTGCCAGTGCCTGGAATAATTTTCAACATAAAAAACATTTATACAATAATAAATAATAATAAAAAATCAAATAAATCAAATGAAGTTTGAAAATGGAATCCGAAGTCGAATGGAAAGTTCATTGATTTTGGTTTTACCTGGTGGACCGACCATCAAAATTCCCTTCCATGGTCGCCGAATGCCTTTGAAAAATTCGGGCATGATAACTGGTAGAACAACTGCTTCTTGTAAAATGGCCTTAGCTTCATTCAAACCAGCCACATGGTTCCACTGAATGCTTGGGTTGCGTTGCAAAATATCCTTTTCCAAACTGTCCACCAAATGTGACTCATATCCGCTTGAATTAAACACTTTGATTTTCTCGCGAGTTCTCAACCCTTTAGGTGAGCTGTTCGTTGAGTTCTCTTCGATTGATGTTGCCTCTGGATCGTCTTCATTTTCTTCGGACGATGATTTCTTCGGTTTTTCTTTGAGTTTCATTTTGCGCGCTCGAACCCGTTCAATGGATCGACTCTTTCGTAATGTTGGTGATATTTTGCTGCTGCGACCGCGTTTATCTAACGTATATGCAATTGAGGCGGACCCATTTGAATTGTAGCTATTATTGTGATTGTTATTGATCGACGGCAATGTCGGCTGAAGTTCCGGATCGCGTCGTCGAAGAGAACTTATCCAACGGTTATCAGCTTGATTGTTTCCATTTGTCGTATGTGTTGCGCTTTGTTGTGGATACCGTGGCGTTGGTGGAACTTCTGAAGCAAAAAAAAAACAACGCATTTAGTTTACACAAAACCACGGCGAAGAAAAAAATAACAAAACATAATTTTTCCACAAGCACATATATTTAGTAGGAAGAAGTAAAGCAAAATGTTAATTAAAAACTGATAAAAATCCAAACACAAAATAATGACTAGGGTACCAGTGAATGTTAAATAAGCCGTACGGTTTCACTTTCGCTTTTCTTTCGATTGGCTAACTTAGTCGGAACAATAAATATAAATAAACATAATGATGAAACGAAATGGTCTCTTTCTAGACCACGCATACATTAACGACATCAATGGAAAGAAGGCAAAGTATTAAATGCAAACACGTTAATAATGATTGAACGTTAGAAGTGCTGTGTTGGCCGCGACACGCAGAAAATTCAAAGGAAACCCTATATGAAATGACTTGGATTAGTTTGCATAACGAAGTTTGGTTTGTGAATTGAACGAATAGAACTCGCCACCACCATGGTAAAAATCCAGGTGACATTTTTTTTCGGTTTCTATCATTATGGCCTGGGCTGGGGAGAGTGATTAAAAACTTGAGATTTCAAAAGGAATTTTCATACAATTTCCGAACCTCACGTGCTAATTAACATGCAGTGCGAGAATGAGATTTATGCCATGCAGCCAACACGTTGCTGTTTGAGTCGATAGAGTATTGACCCGAGCCGAGCAGGGTAAATTATTCAGAAAAAACGTTTGCAAAGCGAAGGATAAAAGCCTTCGTGATTTTGGTTTATACGGTTTTTCTTACATAACCATAAAACATATACACGGTATTCGCACAACCAAAAGAAGAACACACACAAGTTTTTGCCATTTGATCGAGTAAATCTATGCCGTCCACTAATGCATATCGCACATAGCAATAACGTATGTAAAGCAGCGAAGAAAACCATTGCGTGGCATATGATTTGTGGCGAAAATCGTTTCCGTTCTCATTTCGCCTTAGTTTGAATTCTTAATAATATAATTTCTTTAAAGTTTTGCCATGCTTCATTTCAATTTGTGATTATTTTTTTTTTACTGTAACGCTAAAATGAAATTGACCATAATTTCGACTACATAATGCATGTTTGTTTTCTTAATGGATCCCCATTTCTTGTTCATCAAATTTTATTAGTGTTTTGTGATAAGATTCGACATTAAGTACAAAAAATGTTGTGAGAATTTAAAAAATTGGAGCATTATTTACCTTGCATGGGTACTTTAGATTTTGGAGATTGTCGAAGGCCTCCGTTCATCCCAAGCGCTGATGCAACGGTTGCATTGTTATTGTTGTTGTTCATATTTGAAGCAGCTGTTGCGATATTGGCCGTTGACTTGGCGAGCAGTTTTGATGCATTCATGCCGTTGTTGGTGCGGGTCGGCCGATGAGTTGTCGTTATTTTGGTGAATGTGTACGGCGGAAACTCATTCAAAATTAATGAATCCATCATTCGGGCCATATGTTGAAAGCTCGTCGCATTTTGTACATTGCTGCCATAGATCATCCACCCCGAAAAAGAAAGAAATCAAGCAGAGAAAAAAGGGAACATATTAAATTGCATAAAAATAACAAAGCAACGGGAAAAAAAAGTTGATTCATTAAATATTTGAGAAATCAATTCATCGAGTGTTTTCTTGCCCCAAATTCTGTATTCCTTTTTCTAACGATGAATTGGAAAATTTAAGTATATTTGTTCCGTACGCACATCAATGTGGCTTTCATTTTTTGTCCATTTTAATCAAGTCCTCATTACAATGCGTGCTATCGTTTGGATATAATACACACAATATTCGATCGAGTCGCCTCCACCTGCGTCATTTTGGAGGTGCAAAGACCGACACAGTTTTCGGTAGCCTAAGCTGTGCAAAGGACCGAACATGATGGAAAACTACTTGGAAAAACGACGACGACGACGACGACAAAAAAGAGAAATGCCACCGTGGAATTTAGGTTAAATGCCACATGAAGAAAATCAACCCAATCCAATGGAATAACAAATGTAATTCGTCTCGCTGTTGGATTCAAGCGCTGAACGATCAACACGAAATTGTCCGAAATTCGCCTGGTTTGATATTTGCCAAAGGAAATTTCTGATAAAACTCTATTATTATTGCCTCATTCTCTATACGACTCACGCTATTAACAAAAAGAAGAAAAACAAAAGAAAAATAAAGAAAAACAGACTGAAAAGGTGTCATAAATTCAATGCTGTAAACATGCACAAGTTAACAGCGATATCATGATTCGTTGATATGCTCCTTTGTTTTTGAATTTGGACATGAATTAGACTATTTTCCCATTTTCCACCATAATTCTGTCTCGTCCACATTTATGTTGTAAATTTCGAAATGAAATATATAACTGCGAATATAATTTCGATTGCTTGATTGGGGTATATGGTTTATAAGAAGTTTTGGCACAATTTCAAATGCCACTGTGGTAATAATTCATAATAATTGTAGAATGTCAAAAGAGAAAAAAAAATATAGCTGACAGATTGACTTGGTAAAAATGTATAATTCAATGTATTCTCAACAAGAACTGGCCGGTGAATTGAATGGAAAATTTTCTTTCTTCCGCATTCAAAGCAATCGGAATTGTTTGAGCGGTCAATAAACTTCGGACAATAAAGATGATCGATATGGAAATAAACGCAACCAATACACATGACTCATTCGGCGTACATATAAATGAGTGCGTGCGATTTCTATTTGATTTCCCATCACAGTTTGTATTGTGAGGGTGTTTAAAAAAAGAAACACGAGGCAGTTGAGTGGAAATCGGTTGGTCAACTACAACTCTACTTCAGGTTCCGTTTACGCAATTAGAATGCACGACAAAAAAAAATTGTATCGATTTTTTATTTGGTTAGTATTTTATTCATTATTCTAACATAGGACATTGCACCCCATGGAGACCGTGGCCGTGCGCTTCGACTGAATTGTCGTATCCACTTTACACAACATTCCATTCATCGACGACTCTTTGCTTTACACTTAAAATTCGATTCAACTATCCCGATAAAAGTGTGTTAGACAACGTACATGTCCACAATTAGAATGGAGCAGCAATGGAGTTGAATGAACCCAAACAAACGATTGAGTCGAGTCGTCCGAAGAGTTTCGCATAGTTTTTAAATGTTGTCGGAATAGTTGAAAAACTAACTTAAGCCATTTTTCTTTGGCTCTAACAATCTAAGTCCTCCATATGAAAAATGTTTCTGTTTTTAATGTAAAAAAAAAAACAAACCATTGGTTAAGATTCCAGAGTGAATGGTATGGTGTATGTCGAAATGATTGTACCACTGGCACTGACACTTCATATTCAACTTGAACGTTGTTATTTGTGCTGGCCGCCGAGCTAATGTTCGATACATTTTCGACTCCACCGTCTGGTATTCCCGTTGGGACTCGAGCCGTTTGCTGCAACGATGGATTCGATGTTGAAAAATTGCGCAACATTTTGTAATGCGGTGTTGGAATCTCAGATATCAAATCGAAATGTTCAATCATTTTTTCATTGCACACACACACAAAAAAATCACCAATAATGAGCTATGCTTCGGGAACTTTTTTTTCGTTCGCTAGTTTTCCAAACAAAAACACCCCTCGCAAAACTCTAATCACTAATCTATATTGGTCTACTGATTTTCGGTGTATATAGATATTAAGTTTATATCCTCCAAAAAGGCACACACCGAAAAAAAACAACACACGATTGCCACGATGGCTGTAGTTCAACTAATCGAAATTGACCGATGGCGTAGGGTAAAGCCATTTTTCCATAGCGTCGCCTTGTAGCAAAAGGAAACCGTGTAGCAACAATCAAAATGTAATGCCAAAACGCGTTTTGTGGTTGGCTCGTGCGTGTGTGTATTTGTTATTGTGTGCACGGACTTTAACATTGGCCATTGCGTCCATACGAATTATTTCGGTTTCATTCTTTTCAATGTAAGAATCGCTATAATTGTTCTTGTTACTATTTTGTTTGTGGCCGCTCTGTTCAGCTGTTACCCTGACTAACAGACCGATGGCTATAGATATGCATTGCAAGCAGACGAATGGTGGTGGTGGTGGTGGTGGAGATGGGGAAATTATAATTTACTACCACCGAATAATTAAATGTCATTTTTCTAATGCAAATTACACATTTTTTTTTCTTCGAAAAAATGCTCCAAATTGATTTGAATGAACACATATTTTTGTATTGATTGATGGAATGACTCGGAACATTTTCGATCCATTTTCAATCTGTTAGTGCACTCAATTTCTCACTATGAAATAAGAAAAAAAAATACATTCAATCGACAAGTTGCTCATTTACCTTTCAATAATTGGCAAAAATGACGTGGTTGAATCCAAAGTTCGGATGGTTTTATTGCCGCGAACGATAATTTTCTCACGAGTTACACGTCGAATGGTTTCATCTCCAGTGATGTTGCTGCTATTAATTCCACTACGCAATTTTGTGCCAAACATTTTCATCTCAAGAGAAAAAAAAAACACCAAATTGTTAGTCTATTTTGTTTATTGTTCACGTTTGTCTTTTTTTTTTCAATTTTCACTTCTTTCTATCGACAGAATATGGTTTTTATCTCAATAATTGTGTGAATTTGCAAATGATGCATGTTGTTCAGCTCACAATTCAAAGATGAACTGTCAAAATTGCCATCTATTCGTACTACATAGAGTTGGTCGATACTTATTATCAAATCATGTGTGCGCTATATCCGAAGGCCTGTCTACTGTTTCACTGTGTTTGTGTACGTATTGTCATTGATGCTGTGCTGTACCATCGTATGATCTGAATGCACAAACATGCGCACTTATACCAAAATTCCAACAAACACTGTGTCAACTGTGCGAATATGAACGGTATGGTTTTGCGTCAGAGAACAATAACACCTTACACGGTTCGCAAGTCAAATAATTTGAACTTTTTTAATTCCAGAGCACGTTTTTGCCTTGCAATTTCTTGCAAGTAGGCTTAAAATTGAATTCTTCCTTCATTCTTCGTCTGCATTCGTTCACGGCAAAATCCAGACTGAATGAAAACACGACGCGGGCACTTGTAGTATTTCGCAGAGAATAGAATCACAATTTTTTTTTGTGTTCGTTATTTCGAAATGTACATCCAGCGCATGGAACACAAGTGAATATAAAGTATAATTACGGACGTTTAAGAATCCCGTAACAGTTTCGCTTTTTTTCCGCATACGGGAATAAATCAAGGGTGGCAACAGTGAGCCGCCTTAAGAAATGGAGAATATTTATTGACCGGAAGAATGCAGCCAGACGGGCACAATAAAAGGATTCGATGCGGCGTTTTACTGTTTGTTGTACTCAAACAATAAACACGCTGATGTTTGGTTTTGGGCGGAATCGGCGTCGTGTAATTTAAATTTTATCAATGCAATTTTATGCAACGACGCTACGAAGCCTGTCGAAAAATTATAATGAGTTTTGATATGGTATTGAGCTAGTGAAATGGGCAAAATGAATGAGCCGTGCAGGTTGTTGAAAGTGCGTGCGAATCAAATCACGGTCTACTTCTAAATAAACACAATGTTGTGCTACGAATTGTTATCATTATCAAACGTTTGTTTATGTCGACGACGCAACCATTTACCTAATAATTGCAATTTATTGGACTACAACTAGAACAAACAGAGAAAATAGCAATCATATCCGATGGATTAGTCAAAGTTTGACACAATTGAAGTAGAAATAAATGAAAGCAGCACACAAAAAACTATGGCTATCGCTTTAAGGGACAATATTTTATGTTACTCGACCATGTCTCGCTTTATTTATGACACACAAAACACTTTTCTTCCGTCCGTCAGAATTCTTGCACATTCGCTTTTCGTGTTGTTTTCTTCAGCCACGTTGCGTGGCTGGTATTTTGCAGGAAAAATGCACGTAGGGAATGGATTTGTTGTGGCCACGCTTGTTATGAAGAAAATATCACAAGAAGTGTGATGACGAATTGAAGAAAAAGAAAAATGAACTACACTAGCTACTAGCAGCATTATACGAAACAAACTTGGAATTTCAATGAGGCAAAATGGATTGCAGCGGTTGCGAGTTCATTGTCACCTATTATGCAAATATAAACGGCTACTATGGCTAAGTGGCAACAAAAAAAACATGCTTCAGACTTTTTGCTATACTACGAAATGATGCCATGGTGAAATGAAACCAAATGCATTTTTACATGAAACGGAATGAAAAGTCCTAAATAGCAACATTTTCCACCAGGCAGGCTATCGAACGTCAAGGCCATGATTTCGGTTAGACTAAGACGTTAATGTTTTCTACTGCATTTTCAATTGCAATCAGTTTGGTGACTCTTTCGCTCGCCACAATTTATGTAGGTGAATATGTTTCGCTACTGCTGCTGCTGACTGCCAACGGCGTGACTTATTATGCACTCGTTTCCTTATGGAATTTGTTTTTGTTGACTAACTTGTTGGCAATAGCTTTGGCGGTTTCTCAAACAGAGTTTGATCGATGGACTAACTCAAATTCCAGTATCCACACGCAGAATTTATGTGCTTCACCTTCATCGAATCAATCAACACAGTTTTTTTTTTCAAATTTTTTTCAAATCGATGAACTTTATTTTATTTTTCTTTACTGTTTCAGTGTCGCATTTTACAGGCAAACTGCCAAAATGCGTATCAAAACTTAAATGTTAAGCGATCTTTCATCATACAATCTCTTTAAAAAACAACATGTCGAGTCAAACGATTAGATGAATGACTCCCCATTCCATGCTGACATCACTGGGCCAACAATTCAATTTAAAATCATAACAAAGAAAAATGTGTGAACAAAAAAAAAACGTGAGCAAAAAAATAAAACAGTAATTTAAATCAAATCGATGTTTTTTGTGTTGATTTAGTGAGCCCGCAACTTGAGACGATTGATTATTCTGTAATACTCCTCTTCGTGGGCCTACAAAAAAAACGAAAAGAAATCTTTTGAAGCAACTGTATTTGAACACGATCATTAGTGTCTTACCTCGTATTCCTCCTTCAATTGACAGATGCGTTCTTCAGTTGACGGTATGGTTGCAGCTGTGGTGGTCACGTCAACACCTCGTTTTTCCATTTTCTTCAAGTCTTCTTTCTGCTTGTGATGCGGCACATTCAATCGCTTCTTTACGCATAAACGGTACGCCGTGTATTCATCTGGATCATTTACATTGGTTGCTTTCAATCGCAGAATTTCATACACAATACGGCATTGTTTTGGGTTGATTTTGTATTTTTGCTTTGCTGCCTCAATCATTTCTTTGGAGAAGCCTTCCTTTAGTTTTTCCGGCGCAAACTCTGGCAAAGCGTAGCACAATTTGGCATCAACAAAGTTGCGAACGCGACGAAAATCATCCGACGGGTCTTCAACCGTGATATCGACCACCTTATCATCGCGATTGAATTTGTTGTAAATGGTTTCAATGATTTGTGCCCCGATGCCCATGCCTGTGAAAACAAATGCAGAAGAAATCTCTCAAAGTAACTGGTTTTAATCCAGTAATGATTGGTAAATTCGTATCTTACTTTGGAACGGTGGCAAAACCAACATTTGACTGATACGCGGCCGAATGTTCTGCGGATAGGCATAGTATGTATAAACAGTGGAGTATCCAACGGTGGCGTATTGAGTGTTACCGTTGCTCGTCGATGTGTACTTTTCATAACTGGGAATTGATGGATTTTTTCCGTTAATTCACACAAGCCAATCTCTGTTATTATTATCGAGGAAAATAAACACAAATGAATACTCACGCAACGAAAAACATCCACTGGTCATCAGTGGTATCAATGTACGATGCGGCATCGACAAACCATAGTAAAAATGTTTGTAGCCGTGCATGATAGGCTAGAAAACCGGGTGTTTTAACGCTACACTCGTAGATTTCGAATGTGCGACGTGTATTGTTGTCCTGTTCAATGTCCCAGCTAAAGATTTTCTCGCCAAACGGTACGAATGATTCTTCTTTATCCAATTTTTTGAGGAATTCATCGATATTTGTGTAATAGCAGCCGGTGGTCAAGAGTTTTGAAATATCTCCAGTCACATCATCACTCTTGAGACCATCACTTTGAATATCTTCAATGCGCGACGTATACTTCAAGCCCATGTATATATTCAATGGGCCAGCCGTATAAAAGAGACGAATTTTCAGGTCTTTGTAACCAAAAATGCATTCATTTTCACCGAAAATCTGATGGGCAAACTCCGGATGGAACGAAGTTGCTGTGTTATCGTCGATTTCACTGCGATTACGAACTGAAACGAATCATTGTGTGATTTAGAAAGAGTCCGGCAAACAAAAGAACACCCATGTCAATGGCACCACCAATTACTTACTCAGTTTGAATTCAACGCAATCGAGGGCATTGCCCAGATATTGTTTCATTTCAAGTTGATTTATGAACGACATTGCTGCAACAAAAAAAATTACACAATCAATAACACTCGATTTGCTGCCAATGCAACTGTATTCCGACTCAAATTTCGGCACAATTTCTATGGATCATACAAAAAGGCGCCAAAACAATGACTTTCTCTATAACCTAACTCTTATTGCAGACATTTCATCACATTTTCAACAATTTTCCAAAAAATTGGCATATTATAACTAGTGGTTTCACTTTAATGGATATTTATTGACAACTTACCGCCACCAAATTTTCAATCGACTCAATTTGTATCAACTAATTTATGGAATAAAAATGTAGCGTCCTTAAAACGCAAAACAATTGTTTGTGATATATTTGGTTGTGTCAAAAACAAAATCCAAGTATTATGTGCTTTCATTAGGTTATTCACCATCAAGTCGGTGCTGATCCGTCGTCGTCGTCGTCGTGTGTATGCATGTGTTTGTGTGTATTCGTTGATTCATTGTGTAAACATCAACTCACCATACCTTGCTGTCTTTGTTATTGTGATTATTTTTAGGTATCATTTTCAACATTGTCAAGTTGGCAATTGCAGCATAGTTGATGTTTGAATCTAGAATGTGCGAATCTTTTCCTGTATCCTTGAAAAAGAAAGTCTTCGGCATTAATGCGAAATTATTTCTCTTATTTGAATGAAAAATCAATTTTTTTCTCATAATCATCAGTTTATTCGTTTAAAATAAAAACATCCATTTTGTAAGCGAATGGCTGTTGAATCGTTTCTCTCTTTTCTTTTGTAATATAATTTTTTGTGGAGTTTAAAAATCCATACTTTTTCCTTTTAAAATCAATATCTTTTCATTCTCTTATTCTTAATAAAACATAAATCGCACCAATAAATGGCCACAGATGCTTTAGACCATGGTGAAGTCCAAAGTTCATATAAATTCATTTCTCTGATTTCATAATCTTCGCATCAATGTATGCGTTTGATAGACTAAAACTAAAAAATAAAAATTGTACGTTGGATATATATTCGTTTTAGTGATCCAGTTCCAAATGTGCAGATGACGAGAGGTTTTGTGCATTGCGAAAACCCATAGCTGTGGTGATGAATGTCAAGTTTTATTTGTGACATTACAACGAAACGATAACCAAACTGGTTTTTTTTCAATCTCCAATAACTTGAAATAACAAAAGTGGGGGATTTCGTAACGGTTTCAATCAAAAAAAATATTTTATCGCTTATTGGAATTCTCTTAAATGACTGATGATTCACGTCTTTGATGAATGGCGCCTAATTTGTTGGCGATAAAGTCGTTGGATTTCCAGAAAATTTCTTCGTCTTTTTTAACTGGCGTCTCTGGTAGGGTGAGTGCTCTTGTGGCTTGTGGCAAACCCATTTTATCGGCTGCTTCGAAGCAAGCTCGCGCTGCATCACGATTCTTCTTAAGACCGCCCCATCCGTGCACATAGAAGACACCTAAATTGTACATGGCCTTCTTATGACCAAGACTTGCCGCTGCACGATAGCATTCCATGGCATTTTTTGTACTCTTCTCCACACCGACACCCAACTCGTAACAAACCCCCAGATTGAAGGTGGCTTCTTTATGGCGATGAGTTGTTGCCAATTTGAGATGAGATACTGCAACTTCTGGTTCATTGGCCCGGAAATTTTGCATGCCCAATCTGAATTCAATGCTTCCCAGTGTTGCGATTAAATCTTCAACTGCGATGCTGACATCAGATTTCTGTTGAAACATAAACAACCGATTAAAAAACCAGTCTTTGAAAACGAACGTTGCTTTACTCACGTGATCCGCCGCTGTCTGTGTGGCCGATGTCAGTGTATTATTGGTGACAAGCTGATTTTGATTGACATGGTCATTTGAAACGGGTACCAATTCCATAAGCGCCCGAAACCGATGAATCCTATTAGCGTCATACCAATGATGTTCATCGTTTGATGGCACAAAACTTCTCTGATAAATCGATTGCTTTTCGAGCATCTGTCGAAGTGTTCGTTCGTTCAAAAGTTGTTCCATGTGATGCCATCGCTTGAGGTTCTGACGGCGTCGCGAATAGAAGCAGATCATCTGGCCAAAGTATAAACTGGCCAAAAAGCCTGCCGTCTGAAATACCAATTTGTTCTTAGCATAAATATTTTGAAATGTGAACGAAATGACGAAGAAAACTATGGCCATCAATTCACTTACCCATTGCAATAAATTGAGTTCCATCCAGCCATTGAAGGCCTCTTGTTGTTTTTGTTTTTGCTTTTGGTAACATTTCTGTATTATGTACGGTGCATCGATGTCAAATGGATTCTTTTTCGCTTTATTTTGTGATCTATCCGGATCAAAACAATTCCAACTGTTCAAAATTCGCCCATCTCGACTGATTTCATACCGTTTCAGCGTCTCCTCCTTCTTTCCAACATCTTGTTGCCCCGTATTTGTGTTGCAGGTACTAAATGTACTGCGCAAATTCTTTATGTGTGAACATGTCTGTTCGGCACTATCTTTTAGACGTTGGCCAACATATTTCCACATAATTCTATGTGCACCACAATTTATCAAATTAAAAAAAACAAATTAAAGATCCGATTGACACACACAAAAAAAATCGGTCGAAAACAGGAAAGTTTTCGTCTTTGTTTTTAAGCAAAACACGTTCCGTCAAAAAAAGAATGTATGAATCGAAATAAATATGTCGGTCGATTGACGTTTTATGAGCATCCTCCTCGCCCTCCAGTGGTGAATTCAACATGGAGAATTTAGAGTGGTGAAAGCTTAGACACACTGACACTTTCACATTCTCAACATAACCACAGCACAACACTGACAGTTTGGAGTTTGCATTGAATTTATTTTGGCATCAAACAATTTTCAACTTACGTGACAACATTTTTCATCTTTTTTCTCAGTTTGAAACTAGTAATATGTTTCAATAAATTTCATTTCAAGTTGTTTTAGTGAATAAAAAGTAAATTCATTTCATAAAAACATGGGATTCCACTGGCAAGACGATTCCGGTAAGGAAATTCGGCAAAAGCACCATAGCATGCATTGAATCAATATTAATTCATCATTTCGATGGTTTTCTTAGGCTCTGGATCAGATTCAGAATCTCATGGTAGCAGAAGTAGAAGCGCAACACCAGCTCATTCGGGCGATGAGGCTGCTCCTGGTGGCGTTAATAATCGATCACCGTAAGTGCTGATTCTTTGCCCAAAACAATATTATTATACCATTTTGAGGTTATGTTATTATAATTTCATTCTAAACATTTTTCACTGTTCTACACAGCTCAAGGTCCCGTTCAAATTCACCGGCATCACGTACAAGCCATTCTCGCAGCCCTAGTCGTTCGCGCAGTGGCTCACGAAGCCGAACACCGTCGAAAAGTCGATCACCATCGCCGAATGGCTCACACAAATCACGTAGCCGTAGTCGAAGCGGTAGCGGTAGCCACAGCCGAACACCCTCCCAACAATCGCAGCAATCAAATCGATCGGGTTCACGTCATTCGAACCAATCGAAAAGTGGCTCACCACATTCGAACCGATCGAAAAGTGGCTCACCACATTCAAACCGGTCGAAAAGTGGCTCACCACATTCGAACCGATCGAAAAGTGGCTCACCACATCCAAACCGGTCGAAAAGTGGTTCACCACATTCAAACCGATCAAAAAGCGCTTCACAGAAATCTGGCACTCGCAGTCGCAGCGCTTCAGCCGAATCAGACATTGGTGGTGAGAAGCGGAAGCGGCAAGTGTTAAGCGATTCTGGCAGTGAAACCGAAAAGAAAATGCCAAAAAAGAAGAAATCCACTTTGATTGATTCGGACAGTGAGCCAGAAGAACAGCCGGCAGCCGCAGAAAATGATGATATGGATGCAGCTGATATTTTTGTAAGTTTCAAAATAATCAATCGCCAAATTATTCCTATTTTGACTCTTTTCAACTTTGATGCCATAATGTTTTTAATTGTGGTAATAATTTTCGTAGGGTGACGCCGATGATATAAGTACCGATGGAGAAGAGGAGCACGAGAAGAAAAGAGGTGGCGATAGTTCCGAAGATGATGTTCGCCGTGGAAGTGATCACGAAAATGACGATAATCGTCGCAGAGACTCGGATAGACGAAGCTCAGTTAGCGGTGATGAGCGTCGAAGTGACGATGAACGCACACAACGTGAAAAAGAGCCTGAACCGGAACCGGAGCCAATACCAGAACGTCGCATTGATGTTGAAATCCCACGAATCGTTTCAGATTTGGGCAAAGATATTCATTTTGTCAAATTGCCAAATTTCTTATCGGTCGAAACCCGTCCATTTGATCCACAAACATATGAAGATGAAATTGACGAAGAAGAAACACTGGACGAAGAAGGTCGACAAAGGTAAATTCAACTATTTTTTTTTGACTATGTTCCAACATTTCTTATTGTATTGCATTCGAATTTTTTTTTCATTTTAGAATCAAATTGAAAGTGAGCAACACAATTCGGTGGCGCGAAGACTTGGATGATGAGGGAAATACGGTAAAAGAATCAAATGCACGTATCGTGAAGTGGTCAGATGGAAGCATGAGCTTGCATTTGGGCAATGAAATTTTCGATGTGTATAAGCAACCGTTGCAAGGTGATCACAATCACTTGTTCATTCGTCAAGGAACGGGTCTACAAGGACAGGCGGTTTTCCGAACGAAGCTCACATTCCGACCATACTCCACCGAATCGTTTACACACAAGAAGATGACAATGTCTTTGGCTGATCGATCGCAAAAGACGTCTGGCATTAAAATTCTTACACAAGTTGGTCACGATCCAGACGCAAATCGTTATGCCAAATTAAAGAAGGAAGAAGAGCAATTGCGTGCCGCGATGAGAGCAAAGACTACACAAACTAAACAAAAGCGACGAGAAACAGCGGCTAGTATTAATAATTACCGTGAAGAGCACGATTCAGATGATGAAGGCGCCATTTCGATTGCGGCTATCAAAAATAAATACACCGGCAAAGGTGGACCCAGCGCATCGAAACAAGGTAAACAATAAAAATTGCGTTTTCTCCTTCTTTTTTTATCATCTCATCTTGGAAACTTGATTTTAATTTCCAATTTTAAATTACAGGTTCTGGCATCTATTCATCCGACGAAGACGATTCTGATATTGACACAAGACGCAAGAAGAAAGCAGACAAATCCAAAGCGTTACGTCAATTGGCTGATTCAGATGAAGATAGCGCCGGTACAAATCATGAAGCTGGTAGCGGCTCACGCACTGGCTCTGGATCGGGATCGGGCTCAGATTAGAATTTCAATCAATTGTATTTAGCATTAAGACTTCATTTCTGACAAGTAACCAATAAAATAAATTGTATAAAACTAGACGCATTTGAAACTCTTCAAAGATTTTTCTTTATTTGTGATAGTGAATACAAAGTATAAATACGTTTTTATACAACATTTGTTCATACAACATTGCCCACATCTATCAATTTGAATAAGCATTCACATGCAACGTATGCTTATTACTATTTTGCTTGTAAAATACAGATTTGCTTCATCATCATTACTAAACGATCAATGAACAGCATGATGTAAATGATGTGCGTATTTGACAATTGTTTTCATTAAAAAAAAATCTCAAGTGGTGAGCTCATCAAACGATTGATAACGTGTACATTTACAGTAAAACCTACTCCAATTTTCTTAAAGCGGAAAAATGTTTCTTAAAGCGGGTAATCTTCCACCGGCAAAATTTTATGTTTAGTATTTTTTTTGAACGTGCCTTTAAAGAACATCGTTCTCCACCGTGAGTTTTGAGCATTATTGATGCCTTGAAAGTAGCGACATATAACAGCGGTTTTTTTCATTGCAGTCAATCAAATATCGCGAGCTGTCAAAATTTCAGTATTCTATGTTGTTTAAAAGTCAAAACGAGAACCGCTGCAAGAGTACGATACGAATTTACATTGTTATTGTTTTTAATAGAAAAACACTGACATTCAGGGAGCACGTTCTCCACACTTTTGAAGAAAAAAAAACGTGATGGCGACTTTCATCGGGGCTTTACTATACTTGTTGGAATCAATATATACAAAGTTATGAAAAGAATTTTAGTTCATGGTCACTCTTGCTTGTGATCGGACGGTTATATTCAAATGAAACAATTGTCAGAAAATTGCGTAGATCATATTTAAATAATAATTTAATTTACTTGGGTACAAATCAAATTATAGGTGAAATTTTACCAGTTAAGTACTACGGAAAACAATTGAAATTATACCGTGTATGTACATGAGTGTCAGTTAGTGTTGGTTGGTTCGTTTGTTTGTTTGGACATTTTCATTGCGTGGTTTTTTTGCACAAAGTGCTTGTTTGATCGAAAATTTTGATTTTTTACTCGTTCCATTCTTACTACGCGTAAAATACACGAGGAGCAAATTATATTATGAGTTCTGTGTTTTAGATTAAGAGTATAGTTCCACGGGTGAGATTGAGAATATGTTTCATTGACTTTGTTTCTTAATACGCTTCTTATGTATTTTAAGTGAAATAAAAACCGGGAAAACAAACGAGTTTCTTCGATCATTTCGAACGAATGAACAAACAAACATTCGAAAGTGTTGGACAATTCAGAATGAAATGAACATGCATGAATGAGCTATAGTGTTCGGTCTTACAATTTCAAATGTTCGTTTTGGTATCAAAATCACAATGTCATTGCCGTTGATTTGATGTTATTTTGTCATTCTAAGTGTTTTGGATTCTTATATAATTTCTTTTTTGTACATTTTATCCAATAGAAATCAAAATGTGGCCAAAAGTGCATTACATTTTGATGCTAATGTTAGCAGTTTCAACAAATAACGTAGGAAACTCATTGAAGATACTCGGACTTTTTCCACACCCGACAATGAGCCATTTCAATTTTTTCCACCCAATATTGCGGGGACTAGCTGATGCAGGCCATGATGTTACTGTTGTTAGTCATTTCCCAGACAAAAATGCACCAAAGAACTATATAGATATGCCATTGAAAACAACGAAATTGCTCGTCAATTCCATTAACTTAGAGGTAGGTGGCACTTTTTCAATAATTTTTAAAAATTAATTTATCTATTTATCGATGGATTTGATTATGCTGTTCGAATTGTCAAAATCACTAAGGTCACAAAGTTTAATCTGGAATGGTTTGAATTTACAGAATTTCTCAAATCGTCCTTGGTACAAGAATTTCCAGGATTTTTTTTGGGTGCATCAATGGGGGGGGCATTGATACATGCGAGCTCGCCCTAAATTCAACCGTTATAAAAAACATTTTAAAATCGATTAATAAAGAAAATCGGTATGATGTTATATTGACGGAAGTATTCAATAGCGATTGTATGATGGCTGTAGCATGGAAACTAAAAGCACCGGTCATCGGATTGAGTAGCTGTGTGATGATGCCATGGCATTACGATCGTCTTGGAAATCCATTTATTCCATCATACATGCCTGGGCTCTTTGTTGGCTCCTCGGAAAATATGAACTTTTTGGAGCGATTAAATAACTGGTTCACTGTCAATGCTATGAAACTCATATATAAGTAAGAACTTATTTGCCATGTGAATGCTCTAAAAACGAATACAATTAAATGATATAAATTTCTAGGTACAAAATGATGAGTGATACTGATAAAATAATTCAAAGGCATTTCAAGAATGAAGAAATTCCACCAACTGGAGAACTCGTCAAAGAAACGAGCCTTATGTTCGTTAACACCCATTATTCATTCAGCGGATCAAGGCCAAATGCCCCAACTGTTGTGGAGCTAGGTGGAGTTCATATAAAAGAAGAGACACATTTGGATCCAGAAATAAAAGCGTTACTGGACTCGGCAGCTGATGGTGTAATTTATGTGAGCTGGGGTTCCATGATAAGGGCTGAAACGTTACCGCACGAAAAACGAAATGAGCTTCTGAAGGCATTTGGCGCTTTCGAACAGAAGATTTTATGGAAATGGGAAAATGAAACGATTCCCGATCAGCCCAAGAATGTACATATCCTAAAATGGATGCCGCAAAGAGAGATTTTATGTCATCCCAACGTTCGTGTTTTTGTGAGGTAAATGGAACCATCTCAATACCAAACATTCTACACAGAACTAAGTCAAATATTTGTTCATGTTTTGCTTTCAGTCATGGTGGTCTGATGGGAAGCAGTGAATCAGCCTATTGTGGTGTTCCAATGGTACTTACGCCAATGTATGGTGATCAATTTCATAATGCAGCTGCAGCTGTGTCACGTGGCATGGGTTTCATTGTAAATTATCCAGACATTACTGAAGAAACTTTCAAAACAGCCATATCTAATGCATTAACAACGGAAGCAAAGCAAAATGCAAAAAAAGTCTCATATTCGTATCGAAATCGTATTAAGAATCCATTAGAAACGGCAGTTTGGTGGGTTGAATATGTGGCAGCCACGCGCGGAGCACCTTTGTTGAAATCACATTCTACACATATGTCAGCAATCGCGTACTATTCGTTTGACATTTACATCGTAATTTTCATCATTTTATTAGTGATCACCTACATACTACGAACCATTTTCAAAAAGATTTTCGTTAGAGTTACTAAGCCAAAAACTGATTGAAAGCAACAATTGAAAAAATCGCATTCAAAATTTCTAACTAAGTTTCAATTATATTCGCAATCGATTGTTGGAATTTAATTTCTGACAAACATCCGAATGAAATGAATTGTATAAAAATAAACGCATTTGAAATTTTTCAAAGATTTTTCTTTTATTTGTATTTACTATCAAAAGTATAAATTCAACGGTTTATTTGTATAAAATATATCTACATTTGTGTGTTAGCCGCTCGTCTGAAGAGTAAAATGAGAGCAGAAAACATACGGGAAGAATCTTGTTGAATGGAAAATGTTAAAATTTGTGTGTGTTTGATTTTATCTGTGTAATCCTTTGTCAAATGAACTAATCAATTCCAATACACGAGGTCTTGTTTTAAACTTACAAAATGGGGCTTGTACGTTTTATCATCCAAATGATCTATGGCTATTGAATTTCTACTTTGATTTCTATTCGCAGTTTATATTGTAAGGCAACGCTACTATATTTGCTTAATTATTTTTATCATAATAATTTGTATATAAATATTCTTCTAAATAATTTCTCAAGATTTCATGCTGAAAAAATTGTTTTTTTTTTGTCGATGTGTTTGTTGTTCAACAAATATTGACAAATTGTCAACACGGGTCACTTTTGAACGAGTGAATCACCATCGTCAGATTTTAAGTACTAAATGTTTGGAGTATGTCAAAATATGTGAACTTGATCTAAATTGTGCCTACGGTGGCCTTTCCTCACACTTGTTTTCTTCTTTCAATGCAAATTTTCTGAAATCTATTCAAATCGAATTTCGCAAATATCGCAAATGATATTGTAATACTGCTTACAAAATATGCTTGCATTTTTTTTTGCGTCTTTACACGGAACACAATAATAAGTAACTAAGAAAAGATGAATCTTTTCGGTGTATCATCTAGTGAGAAATGTGATTAATGTGTGATTGCATAAATGTTCAATATTTTCCTACTTTGTATAGTCATTCGAACGATTCTCTGTTTTTTTTTTGTTCAAAATAAAAATGATTTAAAAGGAAATTGTGTTATGCGACTGCATTACTAGATGCCGAAAAAAATAACAAAATTCAAAGTAAATAATATTTAAATCTAGCAAAAAAAAACATCGTACAACTAAGTGAAATAGTGAATTCATGTTATTAAATGTGAACGCATTCCAGAGATCTGCAATCGATTCAGCAAGCCTGTGAAAAGATGGTAAAGATCAATAATTTGCCTTTGGTTGATTTTGATGAAGAATGCAGAAAGAGCGACATTTCAAGTCGGAATTGAATTTTACCTGAATTCTGAGTGAGTTCGACTCATAGCCGCCTTTGCTTTGCATCTGACTTTGGATCGCATTTATGTGATTCGGAGTGAGCTCAGTGTCGTTCGACCCTATATGACCTGCCAATGGAATAAAAATCGTTTTAGATTTTTTTTTTCTTTTTAAAAACTATCAATGCTGTCTGCACTGCATAGTCAGTGTCGATTGAATGCTACATACCGGTATGCACGAAATTCGTGGGATGGCCGATCATCGATCGATCTATTCTCATGCGCTGATGACGTTGACGTCGTCGCGTTGGGCTCTGTGGCTGATGAAAGCAGCAGGAAAACCATTGAATCCAAATGTCACCGTTGCTTGCCATTTCTTTAGATTTCATTCAACGTATTTCAATCACACAGCAGATGAATTCGAAAGCGCAACAAAAACGTTTATCTATAGAAAAAATGGAAAAGAAAATTGTGATTAATATTTATGGTAAATTTATTGGCATCTCAATGATTTGTACTTGTCTAATTCAATTAAGAGTAAATTGCTACGATGGCATCTTCTATCGAGCCAAAACAGATCCAATATTGATAATTTCAATAGCAAAAAGAATGTATTAATTTGAATTTTCTCTTCGACTTAAGGTAGTCGGTCGCTGTAGTGCTCTTTTTTTTTAATTGAGCAATAAATACCGCAAAAGGTGGCCTATCAGCAGGCAACTCTAATCAATGTGTAATGCGTGCACACTGACTGTGAGGTGCGCGCATTTATGGGTACATCATTAACCATATTTGTTGTGTGATTCTTCCGTCTTCCGATATAAAAAAAATTACGCATTTGCATATATATGTTTCACCGTTGCTGTTTGTCGCTTTGAAACCTACGGTCCAAAGCTTCATTTAAAAAAAAAATGAGAAATGTGATTGGAGAGACAGTTGAATGCGTATGTCATTCGTTGAATAACCACCAATATTCTCACGCACCTGTCATTTGTGACAAATTGAAGTAATTATACGGCATCGACAGGGCATCGTGATGACAACGGTGCCATTCGCATCTTGATACTTTTTAACATGTGTGTCTTTCTTTCTCTTGCCATTTCTTTCAATAGCCACCGACAAGAAAAACAAGATGTGCAAAATCACACATCGTCAATCAAACCAGAAGAAATGCTCATAATCGTTTACTGGATCCAATGAATTTATCAATTCATTATTACAAACCGGAACCATTTTATCATATAGAAATTCGACGAGTTGTTATTTTTTATCTACTTGTATCAAACGGCACGTGTGCTTGGACAACAAATGAAGAATGAAAAAAAATATCATTTCAACCATCGTCTTCGTTTCCGTCATCAAATCGCGTCCGTTTTGTTGAAAACAAAAAAAACGCATTCATTTACTGCATTGCATTTCGATCAGTAAAACGTCTGCAATTTCACTTTCATGATTTATTAATGTGGATAAAATATTCTCGTCGATTGTACGAATTTCCGCAATATAATCGTAGTTGAGAAAGAATAATGAAAACAAAAAATAGTAAAACTGCAAGTGTGGTGGCAATTCATTAGTTTCATGAAAAATAAAACACAAAATTATCGTCCACTGCTGTACTTTTTTCTTTCTTTTTATCAACAACCGAAAAAAACATGATTATTTCTTCTTCCAACTGTTCGCTTGTTTACTTATAAAAATGAAATGTTTCATTGAATCAGAAATGTGTGAAACAAAAATCCGATAAAACAGTTGCAGACGTTACGGTCTGTTGCTGCTCTATAGCACAACGAAATCAATTAAGCGAACCGAAAAATGTGTATACTTTGAGATATTAAGGGAAGAGCGAGAGCATAACTCGTCCTCAACACACCATGATTACGGAATTTGCATAAATAATAATGAATTTGTACAAAGCCTACACAGTAGACTCATGTTTCTCTTTCGATCAGCCAACCCACCGACCGTTTTCGATTCAAACGTCAGTGCATTTTCACTGTTATTTATCGACGCATATCTAACAGTCGGTTTTTATCACTACCGTCTTTGGGTGCGATCGAACACTCGAATTAAATTCAATTTAAAATTTTTAAATTATAAGTCTGTTTTTTATGAGCCTGTTTTTTCTTCATTGAATTTTAATGAGATCAAACTCTGTTTTTGTAACGGTTTTTATCAGCTGAGCGAAATGTGACTCATTGACGCAATGCATTCCATGATCCATGGACCATGGAATATTGACGAAGTGATTTTGTGAGTTGAAATATTATAGAACGAAATTCGTCATCAAAAATGTCCTACTGATTTTGGTATTGCTTTCCCTCGGAAACGTCTAATTAGTAAATCTAAAGACAACTAATTAAAAGTTGAGCCAGTCTTCAGCACGAAGAAGACAAAAGAAAAATTAAAGGAGAAAATGTGAACGTTTCATGCTGTTAATCACATCAACGAAAAGCGTGTTGACCTCATCGAGTCAAACTGTAAATAATGGATTTACAACCAACTGTGACATAAGCTCATTCCGTTGTTTTCGATGCGCTTATTCTACTTTTTCGATTCCAAATTGTTTTATCAACTGGTTTTGTTTTCAATTTTGTATCGGCACAGAATCTTAGTACTTTCGAAGGGCAAGTTTTGAGCATGAAGAATTCCCATACTATAATTGCTTGTTCTGGTAAATTGAAAAAAAAGTCAACGTCAAAATATTAGAACAAGTTTCATTGTGATCGATAAGTTCAATGGCAGTGGGCTAGAGGACACTGAACTGACGCCAATGAAGGAATGAAGACAAGAAAAAAAAACAATGAAACAAATCTGCACACGAACACCTAATTAAACATACATCTCAAAGTTTAATAGCTAAACAATAAATGACCTTATCATTTTGAGTTGACTCGATGTACAGAGAAAAAAAAATTGTATTGAAAAACATGGTTTAGAAATTACATTAGCTCCATTGAACTGCAGCCCATTCTTTCATTTAACATTGATATTGTATCACAATTCGAGGAAGAAATAAAATAAGCATGAATTGATCAATTGTTGCGTCGTCTTTTTTGGGCTACACATTTGAGGTATGTATGTGTTTGTATGCGACGCAATCACAAACAAACGGATAAACTAATCTATTTACATTCGAAGCAGCAACTTTTTTCGGAATGAAAGCTGTACTGCCTATGTAAATGAAATCCAGTGAGTGTGAATAACAATTGAGCGTAGCAGCGACAATGAGCAATAGAAATCAAAAACGATTAAACTGCATACTCTCCGTATGCATACGAAACGCATTGTTTACTTTCTATATCATTTCGATGGAACGTTTATTGTAGTCCCCCCATATATAATTTCGATTCTGTTTTTTTCCTTCTCTTCTTTTTTTTCTTTCGTTGTTGTTCAACCCAGTCATTTTCAGCATTTTTGCCTGTTAATTTATATTTGTCTAACAACTTTGGCTTGGTGTAATAAATAATTCATGGCTCACAAAAGCACACATACACACAGGGAGAGAGAGAGAGAAACCAATTTGGGCATAAATCATTTAATAGGTCTAATAATATGACAGCATCAATTGTGTGCTTGCACTCTCTAGTGTATATGCACGTTCTTGAGCATATATATATATGCAACAAAGTTGATGGAGTTTCTCTCTTTTTTTTCCTTTGTGTGATGGGGCTTGTGCAGATTTTGACGATTGCGGCCCAATAAAATCCGAGCAATTTAAGGTGTTTATCGGTTGCTCAATATCGAACAAGAGGAACAAAAAGCCAAACAAACAATATGCAAATCAATTCGATCGTAAATATAGATTTTGATGTTTACACTCCCTCTGTTGTGACGTGAATGCAGCGAAGAATTTGAAACAACAACTAAAGAAACATGCACAGTCTTCGTAGCATCGGTGTGAACATGGTGCAAATTTGCCCCAGGTTAAGGCCTCCATTGAAATACTCAATGAGCCAGTCCTTTCGATTTTACGAACTAAATTTTACATTTTTGGACCGTTTTTTTCGTATCTCCCTCTCTCTCTCTGCTTAAGCGCAATTCGGAATTGATTTCAATTAATTTAGCCACTAGTGAGCATTGAAATCGAATCGTTCGATGTTCAGTTCAAGACTGCACGCAAAAAAGCAACAACATCGACATGTTTCCTTTTACATTTCATTAGCGGTTATTTTCTGAATTCTCATGTCGATTCTATGACCATAAAAAGCCTTGCTATGATTGTCAGATCAGATTGCGATATAGTTCTCTCTTCTGTGTGCGAACGCATAGCAATATGTCGAACTCAAAAATCACCATTCGGTCAAAATGTTACACGATGTTCAATACACGAAAGGCAGTGTTTTTTCTTGTTTTTCTTCTCTCTCTCTTTGAACGAAAACGTTTCGCGGAATCAAATGCGAAGTACAAAGTATAATTTACCCAAAAGGTCGAACCGTATGTGTCATTTCATCGGTTTTCAAGTGCCCAAAATAAATAAAACCGAACCATTAACCAAAAGCAAACAAAGAGTTCAAATGCTGCACTAAGTGCGATCGCGTTCGATCACTTTTCGTAATTTTTAATTTGATTTTCTCAAGAACGTTCCGAGTTTGATTCAGATGTTTTGCCCGAAGCCTCAAAATGGCTTTGTCAAAACGTACAGCATTCATTGCGAAACATACGAAAGGCTTTTTCATTCCCTACTAAACAATTTGGCTTCGCGTGTACTCAAAGTCATGGTATTGAAACGACGCGAATGAAACGTAGTTAGCGTTCGGACAGTGACAAATGATTTATGAAACTTTAAATCTTTTCAACTTTTGTACAAATAAACAAAGAATCATTTTCTGATTCTTCACAAGCTGCCAGCTGTCAAGAAAACAACGCAATTACGCTTTGGATCACAATCTTTTTTTTAAATCGTCAAATACACAAATCAGAAAGAAATTCTCTTATGTAATCGTCGTCGGTCGTTCGATTTTCCATTATGTTATTGTGCCGCGAAGACTCTAAAACTATTTTTACTACCGAAAAACTTTAAGGAAGTTGTTTGAATTTTACAGCATGACAACCGAAAATTTATCATCCAAATTTAATTATACGTTATTAAACTCGCAGCGATTTCATGTCATTTGATGGAGTTACGCAAATTTAATACAAATTGTAGACGTTGAAACTGTGGAAAAACAAGTTCGAAGCGTAATCGTATTTGCATGCAACGGAAATACTGACACCAGACAGAGATAGAAAATAAAACCGATTGGGAAGAAAACGGTTGTGGTTCAACAATCGGATTTATTAGTGTTGGGACCCGACACTTAAATAGATCTGTCATTGCCTCTTGGGTAAGGCAATGAGCTTCAGCTCCGAAAATGCAGCAACGTATCGGACCACAGCAAATCGTTACAACAGATGTAAATTATATCGAACGGAATTATGATTTATTCAAATTAATTTCAGGCCCGAAGA